ACTTTAGTGCAAGTAGCACTTTGGCAGAAGCTGAAAGGATGGATAAGAGTTTGCCAGGCTGGGGACCAGCAGATGTGTAAGGTTACGTCGCTGGACTCCCACATTGCTGACCATGGTTTGAATCCCAGACCCGGCACTGGGTGTGTGTGTGTGTACGTGTCCAAAATCCCAAGAGGAGAATGGAGAAGGGATTGCTGTGTGTCCGTCCCCCTGGGGGTGATTTCTCACTTTCTGTCTCTTTGTCTCTGTCTCTCTGGTGAGCTCATGTGCCCTATAGCAAAAATCTAAAAAATAAAATATAATTAAGAGTTTTCCAGGCAAAAGTTTGCCAGGATGGCTAGGTAAAAATGGGCATTCCATGTAACAAGAAATGACAAATGATGTGCCAAGGCTTATATGAAAACAGCAAGATGTTGACTATGGAGAAGAGGAATGAAAGGCTGGAAAGGCAAGGTCCAGATTACAAGACCCTGTGTGTTATGGTAATAAAGCCTGGGCTGGCTCATACACAGTGGTTAAGTTCTGTGCTTGGGAACCTGGATTCCACACAACTGACTGCAGTTCAAATCTCAGCCCCAGCAGCTTCAAAAACATACTGGATACATGCGCATGTGTGCCCCCAAAACTGATGGGATGGAGAAATGGAGAAAAAAGATTTCAGCATTACCATACCATAAGAGGTACTCTCTCTCTCTCTTTCTCTGCCTGGTGAGCACATGTGCCCTCTAGCAATTAAAATTAAAAAAAAAAAAAGCCTTGGAGCCAGCCTGAAGCTTAGCGATTGAAATAGCTGGACCCCATATGGCCGATGGAATAGTTCAAGTCTCACACCTGGCAGCTTGAGAAACACACTGGGTATGGTATGTGTGCATGTATTGCCAAAATCTTGAAAGGAGGGAGAAGTGGGGAAAGAACTGGGGCATGACTATGATCCATAGAGGGTGCTTTCTTCCCTCCCTTTCACTCTGTCTCTCTCTGGCAAGTGTATGTGCCCTCTGGCAAATTAAAAATGAAAAAAAAGAGACTAAATACAAGGTACAGATATTTTGGCAAGTATGAAGCCAGGAGATGACAGAATGAGACTGGTATTTAGAAAAAACTTCTGCATGGCAATAAGACTATTTAGAAGTGAGACAAGACTAGAGACAGGGAGATTAGTTAAGAGGCTGTTGCAGTAGATGATTTAGGCCTGAGCTAAGACAGTTGTGCATGTATGTGTGTGTGTGTGTGTGCGTGTGTGTGTGTGAGAGAGAGAGAGAGAGAGAGAGAGAAAGAGAAAGTGTGTGTGTGTGTGTGTGTGTGTGCGTGTGTGTGATAGATTCAAGAGTTATTAGGACCAGCAGTTAGCATAATGGCTATGTTGCTGAACTCCCATGTAGTCCACTGCGGTATGAGTCCTAAATCTGGTGGCTTAAACTCACACCGGGCGCGTGTGCACGCGTGCCCAAGGTCCCGAGAGGAGAATGGGCAAGAAGGGATTGCAGCGTGGCCATCCCCCCGGGGGGTGATTTCTCGCTTTCTGTCTCTCTGTCTCTCTCTGTCTGGCTGGCAAGCGTACGCGCCCTATAGTGAAAACCTCTCCAAAAAAAAGGGGTATTTATGAAGTAGAATTGACAGAACTGATGAGACACTGGATGTGTTTCCTGTGGGAAAGGGTAAGAATCCCAGATGATTCCTAGGATTGGTATCATTTAATGAGGTGAGCAATTAAAGGGGATATAGTAGGCTGGGGCTGAAGATATGGAGATAAGGAATTCAGTGGACATTTTGTTTTAGGGACCTGTAGAATAGCCAGGTGTGTTCAGGAGGCATCTGGAGATGAAAACTGGTCCTTAGGAGACAGGCACAGGACTGGCATGCTAGCTTCTCACCATGTCTACCCTTTTTCTGTCACAAGTCCTGGCCCTCAAAGTGGTGATGCCTTCCTAATTGCTTCTCCCAACAGCAGATGAAGGCCTGGTACTCCTAGTATGGAATACTGAATTCAAATCACCAATAGCACTGTCATATGGTTGTCAGCAAGGATAGTAAATTCCCCTTGCGTGCCCAGGGAAGAAAGTTCTTTTTTTTTTTTTTCTTTTTCTTTTCTTTTTATTTTATTACTATTATTTTTTAAGCAGAAGACTAGCAATGGTGTCTCTGGAGAATCAGAAGGAAAAGGATGATAGTGATCAGGTACCAAACTCTAATAGATATATAAACAAGCTTACTTTCCACTTCTCTAAAAGCTGAGTCTGATTCTTAGGCTGAGTAACATTTTAATAGGTATAATGAATACCCAAGTTGAAGTATTTTAGAGAAAACATAAATATGACTCACGCCTTTATGAAGGAAAAAATAATCAACAGATAGAGGGAAAGATGAGGTAACATTACTGATGATTTGGTTTCAGACTGACAATGCTGCTTTAGACCTACTTGACACTCCAAGATATAATTTCATGTGTGACAGGTGCCCATTTTTATTAATTGTCCCTGCTGGGCAATTGATGGGTGCAAAATGTCAGTTGGTTACAGTGGCATTAATGATCACTGCAAACTTGCAAGGAAGTATTTCATAAACTTCCTTAGCAAAGTTCATATGAAACGGTAGGTGTCAGGAATCTGGCCACCTGAAGGGCACCTTGCATTCAGGTATTAAATTCTGCCGAACATTTAGATGGGAATAATTGCAGTCTCCTGGTGCTCAAACCACTATGAAATTGTTATTTACATTGAAAACAGGTTGACATGAGTTCTGTCTCTAATGTAGGAGAGGAAGCAGTGCCTAGTCAAGAGGCACTACTAGGGCCATCAGGTGGTGTGGTTGTTAAGGTGGTGGACTCCCATGTGATTGACTGTGATTCCGGTCCTGGACATCATGGTTTTGAAAATCACATGTGTGCGTGAGTGCCCAAAATCGCAAGAAGAGAATGGAGGAGAAGGGATCTCAGTGTGGCTATCCCCCTAGGGGGTAATTTCTCACTTTCCTTTCTGTTCCTTTCTGTGTCTCTGAAGAGTGTACACACCCTATGGCAAAAACCTAAAAAAGAAAAAAAAAAAGGTACTAGCAAGGTGATAAGTTGCTGTTATACACTCCTGGTTGGTTTAACCAAAAAAGGACTTTTGTCAACCCACATTACCCCCTTTTTCTGTTCATAGGAAACTGGTTTCTCCATACAAGATTTTTTAAAAGAAGTTTTTGCTTTATGGTGCATGTGCTTGTAGGAGAGAAAGAGAGACAGACAGCAAGAGGGAAAGTGAGAAATCACCCCCCAGTGGGGATGGCCACACCACAGTCCCTTTTCCATTCTCCTGGGATCTTGAGCACACATGCACAGGTACCCAGCATGAGTTTCAAGCCACCAAGTCTAGGACTTGAACTGCAATGGACTATGTGGGAGACCAGCAATGTAACTGTTATGCCATCTGCTGGCACCCTCTCCATCCAAGATTTTGCCTTAAGTTCTGGGAAGAGAGACAGATAGTATGGCCTACTGGAAGGGGTGGGTGTTGCAATGAGCAGTGGATTGAGCTGACATTTTTCAAATTCTGTTCACTGGAACATCATCCTGTAAATTTATAATGGAAAGACTCTGTGAAGTCGTGCAGAGAAGAAACGTTTCTAACTTTGCCTTAGCATTTCCCAAATTCATTTGATCATAGATCCTATTTTCATGCTTATTAACATGTCATTGAACTGTGGCTTTTTTGGGACCCATTTTAAGAAATCCATTTTCTGCTAGAATCAAATAATAGGTGTAGGCTAGATAGCATTATTTTTCTTCTCTATTGGCAGCAACTGTTGGTTAAGCAGAAACCTTTTCTTCCCCCCCTCCTTTATTATCATGACTTAGTTTTAGGACTAAGAATCCTGTAAAATCTTTAGGTAATTGCTATAAATACCAGTGATGAGTTGCACTCATGAGAAGTAGGAGTGGAGATGGACAACGTGTAGGAGGACACTGAGTCCACGGGCAGTTCAGCACAACTCCTAACTTTACAAATTACCTGGCATTCTTATTTTCTTCCACTTGTCTATTTCACCTAACATTGATTTGTCAGAAAATAAAAGCCATTTTGGAGGCTTGAATGTCCCAAAGAAATAGGTCTTGGGTCCAGGCAGTGACACAATAGTAACACAACTGGTCCCCCATGAGTGAAGTCCTAGGTCTCCCAGGACCTCCCTGAGCACACTGGGTGCACGCAGGCATGCCAATGATCCAAGTCAGTTGAGATTGGAGATGGACTGAAGCCTGAAAACCCTACTGAGGGTTAAGAAAAAAACCCCCAAAACCTATTGGAGGTTCATTTCTGTCTTTCTCCTCTCTCATAACAGAAACAAATAAGCTAAAAAATAAAACAGTACATCCTGACAGTATGAAGAAAAGGCACAAAGAGTTCCATGTGTCTGGAAGTAATGGAGTCATGGACAAAAAGTCATGAGTACTCTCTTCTTGTCTGATCAGTGCTTGGTGCTGCTTGGCCCACCAGAAAACTTATGTTAATCTAGCAAGTGAGCAGACTTAAGTCCTTCCTTCAGCCTGTCCTCTCCTAATTTAATACTGTGAAAGGGAGTACATTTGATATTTTTGCATCCTTCCTTGATCTTTGGGCTTGATTCAGAACAGTTTGGTTAGCTTTGGTAGCCACTTACTTAGAGGAATAACCTTCGGTTATTCATTCCCATGACAAGTACTATGTTTTTAAGTGAAGAATTATCTACCCAATCCCCATTAATTCTATTAAAAATATGAAATGCTATCAACATATTTCAGGACTAACTGTTCAGACAAGTTCCTAGGAGTGCATGTGTGTGTTTGTGTCTTTCCTCTCTCACCGAACTCCTCCTATAGACCCCTGTAGTGAGAGAAGGACCACCTTACCCCTCAGGTCCTTTAGGTAGATCTATAGTAAGCTTTGCCTGCATTGTCAAGAGTCAGTGATAAAGCTGTGGACTGAAAACAGGGCAAAAAAGCAAAAGGCAGGAAAAAAGTCAAAAGAGGAAAGAAGGAGTCTTACGTGGAGAAGGCATTGTTCTGTTTCTCACATCGGATCCCCTTGCAGTTGTTAGGCTCATCAATAGCTATTGTCTCATAATAAAAGTAAAGCTGGTTCAATCCATTGGCAAAAGCCAGCAGTACCAGACAGTAGATAAAGAGAAATTTGAGGATATCAAGTAGCATGCGCCCCAAAGAGATCTGTAGAGGCCCTAAGTGGGAGTTGGCTGTGAACAGGGATATGAGTCGCAAAGAACTTAAAATGTTGGATATTGCGAAGAGTGCTTCTGCAATCAGAGTCGGGTGCCACATTTCCCATTCCTCCCTTGGACGAGAACCATTATACTGAAAGAAACAACAAGTGCACAAGGTAAGAGGTACAGTGAGCATTTATAAAACTTTCCCCTCTTTCTTCCCTTCCACACCCAAATAAATCCACTAAAATATGCTTCAAGCATCTATTTATACAGCAGGCCCTGTGCATGGCCTACTTGTCTTTTTTTGCCCCACTTGATCAACACATGTTAATAACTCTCTTCCTTCTTCTCCCATTCAAATATATACCCAGCATACACACACAGAAGAATGAATTTTGGAGCAATTATCTGGAGCAACCACCTATGGTTTATCAACAAACATTTTCTACCTGTGGATTTACCAGATTGTTAGGGAGTGTCACTGAAATACAACCACTGGTATGCTCAAGATAGTGGGACAAATCACCTGGCTTCCTAATGAGATTTCAAATTAGATATATTTCCTAAATCTTGCACTGTGTTTGTGTCTGAGTGCCATGGACAGCTTGTAGTTACTGAAGATACAGGAATGGATTCAGCCTCCTTGATATGTGGTGTTCATCCTCATGCCCATGCTGATTGCAGTTTGAAGCTGATAGAACATCTTTAGGGAGCCACTCATTGGAGTTTTCTGCTAAATTTTTAGCAGTCGATAATGTATTCTACACTATTGCAAATGGCATGTCAACCTTGCAGGTAGTGAATTTAGTAGTGCCCCACACAGTGACATATGGATGTATTTTACCGTTCCCTTGACAACTCTAAAGTAGAATATCCCTCAAGCACAAATGAAAAGCCAGGGGGTTAAAGGAGAGGAAGAGTCAGTATTTATAGGGCTGGTTGTCCATTTTTCATCCTTATCTGAAGCTTCCATCCTGGATCATTGTGGGTAGCCTTCTGGAAGGATGATTTCCTTGTGAGAGCCAACCTCTAATTTGGGTATTGTCACTTAAAACTGCCTGTATCTTTCAATTTCACCATAAAATAAGGATAATGCCTTACTCCTACCCACTGCACATGTTTGTGATTCAGTATCCATATGCGAAAATCTGTGTACTCCATAAGGGAAGATGCTAAGGAAATAAAAGCAATGCCTATTACCTCCTCAGGACAGAAGTAGATTTTGCCGGGGATTCAATCTTGAGCTCACATCTAAATATCACAATTTCCCAGGATGAGATGTAAACAACTTTCCTGAGAAAATGTTGCATTGCAGGCCAAATTATATTATTAGAACTTCTAAAATGTGTTTTAGTTCCAACAGTTGAAGAAGCTGATGTTGTTAAAGTCACTTGTTTGTATCCAATTCTTCACGGTCAGAGGAGTTTGGACAAACTGTGCCATACTGTGTTTCTGTTTCAGATAGACTTTTAGGTGGCCAGTTCTATGTAATCTTGGCTGAGTCTTGTATTTCTACTCTCTTCCCTCCAAAAACACATCCACTGCTTTGCTAGGAGAGGTGTATGTTGTTATGCCTGTTTTAAAAATGGAGGAACTGAAATCCAGAGAGGCAGGATAACTTGCTAAAAATCACAAAGGAAGTTGGTGGCAGAGCCAGGACTAAACCCACTCAGTCTAGCACTAGTTCTATTAAATATTGCTTATTTGATAGTTGATATGAAAGCATGGATATTAAATAGTCATTTAAAGGCTTTGAGTTATGTGTGAGAGATGAAGACTCTTTACTGATAACAAAACAGACTTAAGTTTTTAAACTAGGAATTATCAACTGGAACATGTACACCTCATAATTTGTGGTTTTCTCTTGCCACATTCAGAACTGTAACCACAGGGAGTCTGTTGAATGTGGGATCATGAAGCTGGATTTGTGGAACACAAATAACCATAAAAGATGATTTTCCTGACAAACCAATACTTTCTATGTATGTTTTTGGAGAAAAATATCATAGCACAGGAGTGCAGACACTAGAGTTGGAGCTCATCTAATGTAGAGGTTATCAAACTTTTTCTGTCAAGGGCCAGATAGTACATATTTTTGACTTTGTGGGTCATATGTTGTCTCCTGCAAATATTCAACACTTCCCTTGTAGTGTTTAAACAATCACAGACAATATATAACAACTCAACATGGCAGCAGGTAAAATGTAGCCCACTGGCCAGTTTGCCGGCCCCTGATATAAGACCATAGTTTTTAAATTGTGTTCCTTAGAGACTGAGGGTTCAATGGAGGCATCTAGTGGCCACTGTGAGAGCCAAAGAAGACTCAGCCCTCAAGAAAACTTGGTCCTCTTTCCTATTTTACATACTGGAATTGTGTATATATTTTTTCTTCAAGATGTGATGCCATGGGGAAAAATTAAAAATATTGAAAACTACTGATCTAGTCCAATTTCTATATTTAGCAGAGGCAGAATCTAAGGTTCAGAGAGGTAGAGGGATTGTCTATGGTAATCCAGATCAAAAGCATTAAGAGTGGGTATTAAATTCAGATCTCCTGACTCCTGGGTTAGTGACACTGGGAGGCAAATGAATTATTTTTACGTATTTTAAATGGAATGCAGCTTGAAAATTGACTCTCTTGCCTTACAAAAGTGGTGTGAGTTGCATTCTATCAACCAAAAGCAAATATTAAGAGGACAGGCTAATAGACTCAGTAGTAGTAGTAAGAATTGAGAAGAGGGAGGAATTGTGTCTTTAGTCAAGTATAGCTGAAGAAAAGACCACAAATAAGTGGTTAGCAAAGTCCATATTTAGTTTGTGCATATGCAAGGTGATGTTGTGCTGGATAAATATAGGTGGTAATATTCTAGAACACAAATGGGTAATTATTCCATTACTGTAGGGTTAGCTGGGAACACTGGCATATTTGTTCTCTTTTGAGTATTTCAGTGTGCATCTTTTGTTTTCTGTTGTTAGCAACATGAGGTTGAGTATATATCACTGACTGATTTTTCTTTGTTATAAAGGATCTTCTTTACGGCCTGTTCATCCCTTGGTGCTTCTGTACTACTTTACTATAATGGTGATCTGAAAGGTTTCAAAAGATCCAATTCTTGTGGCTTTTCTTCAAAAGTTGGCTTAACCTGCTGGGGGAAGATCATCTCAGACTAGTGTGCCTCTGTGGGTAAGTGTACCAGCCTCTTTCCATTTACAAGTTCTCATTGCAAATCTAAATTCTGCATGTGGCAGTCTTGCTTTGTAAGTTCTCCTTTCTTTTTATTTCTCTCTCTCTTTTTGAGGTTTCCAACTTCTTGGCAATGGTCTCTTTTGAGTTAAATTCCGGTTGAGGATTTTATGCAGCTCAGTCAATTGTATTTATTCCTATGCTTTATGGTGGTTTTTAGATTTTTGGGGTCCTCATCAGTAAAGCTGAACAGGTTATATTATTAGTAAATGTTGAGCATCTATATCTATATCTTTGTATCTCCAAATATTAATCCTTTTCTTCATCATTTATTCTGAACTTTCTTGTTTAGACAAAACCGATCGATTTCTACATTGATAATTTATGGTCCCTCCAACATATAAACACCACTTTCAAAGGAAGAATGTATTTTTTTAGGTAAACAGTGTTACTTAGCAGAGTGCCAGAATGACATGGATTTCACCTAGACACATTAACCAGAGAGTCAAACATTTTCCTCACCAGGTTTTTCTTTTAAGGAGGTTGTAAATATGTGTTAAATGATCACATGTATAAGGCATACTCTGGGGCTTCTTTCAAAAATGTTTCATGACTGGATTCAATATTCATGCTCTACATAAGTCCCAGAGTCTTAAAATTTATGCAATATGCATATTAGGAATATAAAAATAAACTAAGTTGTTGGAGTTTTGGAGGACAGCCACAGTCCCATTCTAAAACTCTTTCATGTGGAATTTAGTGCCAAAAAGCATGACTGACTAGACAATCTTGGAAACTAAATTGTCAACTTTTCTGCATGGTGGAAAAGTTCAACGCAGGGTAGAAGGAACACGACCATCCCATTTTTTTAAATGAGTCCCAAATCTGTACTCAGAGTCTATGATAACTTAAAGTATCAGACATGAAGCTATTTTCAGGATAATTTAAGCTACACATTGTGTGGGAAAAGTATCAAGGTTGTGTATCTGCATTGTTTGAATTGATAACAGAGTCACTGATTGGGTGATACTCAAAAAACTAGATTCATAACTGCTTGAATGATTATACTGGTGGTGGAAGTGATGAGGGAGACAGAGATTACTGTGTTTCCTACAGTGAAGTTTGCCAAGTTCTGCTACTTGTCATATGAAGTACAGTTGAGGGAAGTGGGAATACTTAGCTTGGAGAAGAGATGATTCAGTGGGTTAGGGAGAAATGATCATAGCAGGAGCAGTGTTATGAAGAAGGAACTGTATGGCCCCACAAAAAAGAATGGTTACCAAAGGATGTTGCACAGGGGAAGTAATATTAAATAAAAAGTGGTTCTTTTTAATGAAATGATAAGGGTTAAGAGAGACTTTTATAGATAGTAAATTCAGTGAACTTCTTTTCCTGCCCTATGCAAGCATTAACTGGCCATTCTCTTGGTAAGGGCAATGTAGAGAGGATTTAAACACTGATGGTTGAAGACCTTTTCATTCTGAGAGTCAAAGAAACTAATTTATTTGCAAATTGTTCTATTTTGAACTTTCTCTGCTTAGATAAACAACACTTACAAACCATTGAAAGAATGTCTGTTTATATGGCATTTTCCACATGGATTGGACTGTCATCATTATGTTCTCCCTAAATTCTTCATGCCATCAGTGGAAAAGCTTAATGTGCCTAAAATCATTGCTTAAGAAAAATGACAGACATTCCAGTTTACCTTAACATAGGCCACAATCTTCAAGGAAATAGTTGCCAGGTAGAGAGAGTTCATTGCAAAATCCATCAGGTTCCACCAGTCATGGATGTATTCAGTAAATCCACCATCCCACATTTCCTTAATCTCCCCCCAAATGAACCCTGAAGAATAAAGGAAAAAAGTTTATTTTTTTTAGGGTCAGTCCTGATTATTGCAATAGGTTCCTCCAAAGCCAATGAAGATGAGATCAATGGATGAATTAGGGTCAGTGGGATGAAGCCCGAGAGAGAGAAATTACTTACCTCTCTTTCTTAGCCCACCTCCCAGTCTTGAATGTATCACACTTGGTAGCTTTTCCTGAAGATGCCCATATGTTATACTTTTCTGAGTAATACTTGCTTTTAGCATTCTTCCTATAGTTACTTGGAAGGCTATTCCAATTTGGTGTAACCAATTCTGCCCTCTTTCCATTCTGGAGTGGGAGTAATTCTATCAATAAATTAATTTGATCAATATTATCCCATAATCCTTAGTTTCTACTAGATGCTGAAGAGAAAATTTCTCAATAAGTTTTGAAGTAAGCAAGCTGACCAGGGAATGAATCACCAGATGCTGGGATTGAGCCTAGGCAGTAGGGCCCAAAGTAATTTAGGAACCTTTTTTCTCTTCTCTCCTTCCATTGTGTGAAGGTTTAGTGGAATTTTGCTTGGTAACATAGATGTTTCTTTAGCCTTGGAATATGGAAAACAGTAGAAGGTATGACTGTGGTCTAAGTTAACACTACTCAGACTTTAAAATGCATATAAATCACCTGGGCATCAGGTTAAAATGCAGATCTCGGGTGGAATCCGAGATTCTGTAAGTCTAACAAACTCCTCATTGTTACTGATATTGCTGATTTGGGAACCATAGTTTGAGTAGCTAGGACTTAGAGGATGGCCATATTTTGGAGAGCCCAGTGAAATTTAATTATGCTCAGAGACTACTGGTAGTCTTTTTACTGTGTGTGTTCATAGTGTTTTTTAGTGTATCTTTCTCTCTATCTTTTTAAGTTTGGTATACGGTGTAAGCACTTGCCAGAGACAGATAGAGACAAGGGTGGTGGGGGGTTCATTGAGAAAGAACCCCCTCCCCCTCCAGGAAGTATGGTCACACCCCAGTCCCTTCTCTTTCATTCTCCTCTCAGGATTTTGGGCATGCACACACACATACACCTGTTTTTTTCTTTTTCTTTCTCTTTTCTTATTTCTTTTTCTTTCTCTTTTTCTTTTTCCTCCTTTTTACCTTTATCTTTATATTTTTTCTTTCTTTTATTTTTCCTATGGGGAGAATATGCTTGCCAGAGAGAGACAGAGAGAGAGAAAGTGAGAGATCACACCCCAGGAAAATCCACCATCCCACATTTCCTTAATCTCCCCCCAAATGAACCCTGAAGAATAAAGGAAAAAAGTTTATTTTTTTTAGGGTCAGTCCTGATTATTGCAATAGGTTCCTCCAAAGCCAATGAAGATGAGATCAATGGATGAATTAGGGTCAGTGGGATGAAGCCCGAGAGAGAGAAATTACTTACCTCTCTTTCTTAGCCCACCTCCCAGTCTTGAATGTATCACACTTGGTAGCTTTTCCTGAAGATGCCCATATGTTATACTTTTCTGAGTAATACTTGCTTTTAGCATTCTTCCTATAGTTACTTGGAAGGCTATTCCAATTTGGTGTAACCAATTCTGCCCTCTTTCCATTCTGGAGTGGGAGTAATTCTATCAATAAATTAATTTGATCAATATTGTCCCATAATCCTTAGTTTCTACTAGATGCTGAAGAGAAAATTTCTCAATAAGTTTTGAAGTAAGCAAGCTGACCAGGGAATGAATCACCAGATGCTGGGATTGAGCCTAGGCAGTAGGGCCCAAAGTAATTTAGGAACCTTTTTTCTCTTCTCTCCTTCCATTGTGTGAAGGTTTAGTGGAATTTTGCTTGGTAACATAGATGTTTCTTTAGCCTTGGAATATGGAAAACAGTAGAAGGTATGACTGTGGTCTAAGTTAACACTACTCAGACTTTAAAATGCATATAAATCACCTGGGCATCAGGTTAAAATGCAGATCTCGGGTGGAATCCGAGATTCTGTAAGTCTAACAAACTCCTCATTGTTACTGATATTGCTGATTTGGGAACCATAGTTTGAGTAGCTAGGACTTAGAGGATGGCCATATTTTGGAGAGCCCAGTGAAATTTAATTATGCTCAGAGACTACTGGTAGTCTTTTTACTGTGTGTGTTCATAGTGTTTTTTAGTGTATCTTTCTCTCTATCTTTTTAAGTTTGGTATACGGTGTAAGCACTTGCCAGAGACAGATAGAGACAAGGGTGGTGGGGGGTTCATTGAGAAAGAACCCCCTCCCCCTCCAGGAAGTATGGTCACACCCCAGTCCCTTCTCTTTCATTCTCCTCTCAGGATTTTGGGCATGCACACACACATACACCTGTTTTTTTCTTTTTCTTTCTCTTTTCTTATTTCTTTTTCTTTCTCTTTTTCTTTTTCCTCCTTTTTACCTTTATCTTTATATTTTTTCTTTCTTTTATTTTTCCTATGGGGAGAATATGCTTGCCAGAGAGAGACAGAGAGAGAGAAAGTGAGAGATCACACCCCAGGAAGGATGGCCACATCACAATCCCTTCTCCTCCATTGTCTTCTCAGAATTTTGGGCACACATGCACATGTGCCCAGTGTGATTTTCAAGATGCCAGATTTGAGACTCAAACTGCATTCAACCATGTGGGAGTCCAGCACCTTAACCACCACACCACCTGCTGGCCCTTCCCAGATGTTTTTCAACCACAATGTCCAGGACTCAGACTGTGCAGTTGGCCATGTGGGATCCACGTGCCTTAACCTACACGCCACCTGCTGGCTTTTTTTCTCTCTCTCTCTCTCTTTTTTTTAGTTTTTTTTTTTTCTGCCATAGGGTGCATGTACTCCCTGGAAAGAGATGATAGAGATAGAGATGAGAGAGAGAGAGAGAGAGAGAGAGAGAGAGAGAGAGAGAGAGAATGAAACTGAGAAATCACCCCCCGGTAGGGATGGCCATGTCACAATCTATTCTCCATTCTCCTCTTGGGATTTTGTGTACACACGCACATGTGTCTGGTGTGTTTTTCAGGCCACTAGGTCTAGGACTCAAGCCACAGAGTCAGCCATGAGGATCCAGTACCTCAACCACTATGCCACATGCTGGCCGCTGCTTTTTCTCTTGATTATGGAATCAGTACAGACATAAGATGTGGACCCCACACAAGTACAATGGCATGGAATAGTCATGCAAAAACAACACATCCATGTGCCTCTTGGTTATGGGAAAGAGCACTCTGAGTACACTGATCAGCATTTTCCTTGCCTAGCTTACCTGAGGCCCGTCCTGACTGAGAATTGGTTTTCCCTCTAAACCAACTGATAGTTTCTCTGTCTTTGATCGCGTTAAATTATCAGAAGCAAGCTGTGGGAGCACTGCCAGTCTCACTGTAGACCATGCAGTACTGAGCGACAGGGGCCTGGGACAGAAGGAGCCACTTTTCTCAACCCCCAACAAAGGACTATCCTGTTGCACAGTGGGGAGTTCAGAGCCAGTCTGACTGCCTGTTTCAGTAGTTTCTTAGGATAGTACCAACAGGCATTCTAACCATAACTTCTGTTCCCTTTGACTCACCTAGAACCCAAGGCAATATCATCCATTCCACAACAGTTGGAGGAGGCCCCTGTACATGGAGGTCTGTTCTGACAATGTGCTGAGAAGCCAGGAGAAGCATGAAGAGGAAGGTCAAATAAGATGCTGTGTGGCAGATAAACTTGATAAAAGGTTTCTTGATGAACAGCCCAAGGTTGCTCCTGGGTGAGATCAGATAGGCTATAGACAGCATTGGAAACAGGAATCCAATGGTCATGCAGGTCAGAAGCTTGACTACCCAGTGTTTCCGCCGCCATCCAGGAAAACCATCATACCATAGGGTGGCAAGCAACTGTTGGCAGTTGGGCTGAGCAACAAACTGAGAAAGAAAAGAACAAGTTAGGCATCATAATATCTCATCTAGTTACAGTAAACTCTAGGAAGGAGCCATATGGCCAATCCCCAGAAGAAGTCTGTTTTCCAGGTTCTCATGAATGGGCTTAACCCCAGATAGCTCTATATGTTAAGCTAGGAGACTAGATTGTCCTTAGGGTTATTATTATTATTATTATTTTCAATGAGAGAAAGAGAGAGAGTGAGAACTGTTTATTTATTCATTTAAGTAATTTTTTTTTGCCATGGGGTGCATGCACTCACCAGACACACATACACACACACACACACACACACACACACACACACACAGAGAGAGAGAGAAGGGGGGATGGCAGGGAGGATAGCCACCCTGCAATCCCTTCTCCTCCATTCTCCTCCTGGGATTTTAGGTATGCACACACACGCACCTGGTATAATTTTCAAACCTACAGATCCAGGACTTGAATTGCAGTTGGCCAGGTGGGAGTCCAACACCTTAGCCACTATGCCAGGCCCCAAGAAATACTTTTGACTCAGTCTCACCATGTTGCAATCCTCTGCTCCATCCTTCCAGTCAGTTAAAACCACAGGTGCATGCCACCAAATCTGGCCTGTTTATGTTGACCTTGGAACCAAACTTAGGCCTTCAATGTGGCCTCAGCCTTATATTAGTGGCACTTTTGCATTTGTTCTACCATGGCTGGGCCAGGTTTTTTTTTTTTTTTGTCATGCATTTAAACATAATAATTCTGTTTGGTTTATGATTTGGCAAGCCTTCCTATTTCTCTCTCTCCCACAGCATGTTAGAGCAGTAGTTTCCTAAACCTGCCTCTGCTTCAGATCCATCCAGAGAATAAAAGAAAAAAAATCCAGATTCTCAGGTCCTACCACAGACTGACTAAATGGGGCTCTCTGTGGTGGGGGTGAAGGGTAGAGCCTGGGTAGCTATTTTACAAATTCTCCTAGGAATTTACATATCTCTTAGCAAAGATTCGTGTGGGGGTATTTCATTTCAAATTATTTCACTTCTTCTCACTCTCTCCCGTAGTCGACATAAGGTCATCAGCCAATGTGTATTCTATCTGGGCAAACACAAACTGGCAGGGAATAAGCCCATGCCTGTGGCTATGGTTTGAAATGGAAATGAGTTCCTTTTCTGATTTTGTCTTTTTCTCTATTTTGTTTTGAGCACCTCTTGGTTGGCTTGCAATGAATCAGTTTTCTACTTTGTCATCTATTTAACACCCTCTCTAGTCTAGACATGCAAAAAGGGAAAAAATATTTTGGGGCTAACATTACAATATTGTATATTAACCCAGCTGGGATTTTACTTAAAGACAGTCTACAAAGTGTCAGTGATTAATAATTAAGGAATCATCAACACTGCAAGTCACCCTTCAGCTTCTATTTCCTGGTAAGTGACTCAATAGGGAGCTCAGCTGTCAACCATGATTTTAAATACTGCCAACATTTGAGTACCCGAGATTCCCATGGGATAGGTTACATGGAGCTGTACCATATAGTTTACTAATAAAAAGGAAATATACATCTTCCATCATTTACCCAACACCCAAGGTAAATTAGTGCAAGTTTACAGTTATTATTTCTGTGAAAGTCACTAGTTTCCCATCAAAATATTTTTTTCTCTTCCTTGAGCAAACAGTTGGACTACATTCCCCTGTCTCCCTTGCAGTCACATGGTATGGCCATGTGACTAAGGTCTCACTGATGGAATGTGAAAAGAAAAGATGTGTGACACGTCCAAGCCCAACTGATAGAAGTCTCTCATGTGTACTCCTCTGTGTTCTTTCCTCTTTTTGACTGACGGGGATGTGGTTGCCCAGGGTAACCTAGGGGATTCTTTTAGCCTGTGTCCTTCAAAAACCATGTGAAGAACTCTCCTGGTGACCAAGAATACCTGCCTTAGATTGTCACATGACTGAGAAAGTTCTGTTGTGTTTGAGCTAGTATATATTTTGAGGTCTAGCCTACCCTAAAGCAGTTTATTATTGTAAAACTACCAAATTAAGCACTAAAATGTTTTTATCCTGTGATCTCATTTCCTCCAAAGATGCTCATAGTCCCTATTATGTCCTCACATCTCTTTTCCATACATTTACATGCAAAAAGACAAAATCCTATAGTCTTTTTCTACTCTTCTTGACATACAAACTTGTGTTAAAGGTTGAGATGAAAAAGTCCTAGAAAATGCTGAAATGGCAAAGGGTAAAGCAAGACCTTTGGATGCAATGGAAAAACTATTGGAAGATTACAATATAGTGAGTTAGGCAGACATATAAAAAGGTAGTTAAAGGGGGCCAGCTAGGTGGTGTAGTGGTTATGGTGGCAGGATCCCACATGGCCAACTGTGTGGTTGAGTACCAGACCTGGCAGCTTGAAAAACATGCTGGGCATGTGTGTGTGAGCACACACTTAAAATCCTGAGAGGAAAATAGAGAAGGGATTGTGGCAGGTCATGTGGTCATCCTCCCTGGGACGTGCTTTCTCACTTTCCCTCTTTCTCTCTGGCAAGCACATTAACTCTATAGCAAATTTAAAAAAGAAGAGATAAAGAATTGCATGCTGACCAGGTCCTGTGAAGCTCTTGCTTGCTCTCTCTCTCTCTCTCTCTGTCTCTCAAATGCACACATGCCCTGTGGCATAAAAAAGATCGTTATATAATGTATAGTAAGGACACTGAAAGAGATATATGAACAACACATAGTGGGAACACAAAAGAGGGGCACATCTAGAATGTTCAGTGAAGACTTCTGGAAGAGGCAATACCTGAATGGAGCATTAGAGGATGTGTAGATATTGACTAGATCCAGGGGAGGCAAGTGAAAGTGACTAAACAGCCAAAGTAGAGGGGATAACTCGACTAAAGGCATGAAAGTGAAAAAGAGCATAATGAATTGAAACTAGGATAGTCTGGGTGGCTGTAGCTTGAACTGGAAGACTTGAATTGAGCCACAAGAGACCAGGCTAGAGAGGTAGGAAGAGGTTAGAGCAGATCACATAACAGTCTTTGACCATTATAAATAATATGGAGTCATTTTAAAAGCAATTAAGAGGGCCCAGCAAGTGACGTGGTGGTTAAGGTGCTGGATTCCCACGTGGCCATCTGTGGTTCGAGTCCTAGTCTTGGTGGCTTGCTTTCTCACTTTCCTCTCTCTCTCTGTCTCTCTCTGGTGAGCACACATGTCTTGTAGCAAATTTGGGGAGAATTCACTTTACAAGCTAAGTGATGTATGGTGATTTAAAGTATAAAGAAACAAAACGTAAGGTAGAAATGACATGTTTGGTACTAGAAATTTTGTTAAATATGTATATAACAGTGACTATGGTTGCCACAAAGTGCCTGATTTACCTTTAAGTACTGTTAACATGTCATGCATGCAGGTGAGAGGGCTGGAACTGTGCACTAAAGTGAGGGTTTTAACTGTAATGTTTGGCAGAGTTGCCATTTACTTCCCATGTTAAAAGTTCAACTTGCTTTCATATAGAATATGTAATATATACTAAAAGATTTTAGTCTGTTAAACAGCCTTATTCTAATTCAGCATCTTCAGCTACTCTTGAGTTGCAAAGCAGCAGTTCTGTGTGTAGATATTATGCACTGAGGATACACACACACACAAAAAAAAAAAGGAAAAAAAAACACAGTATGATGTAGGTGGGGATGAATAATGCCTTGTACCAATCAGAGGTCCATTTATTAACAATCCATTTTCTATTAGTAGTGTAAAACTCCATTGAAAACTTGCCATAAATAAATAATTAAAATAAAATGAAAAGAATTAAAATAATGATAAATAAAAATAAATAAATAATAATTAAAAAAGAAAAGCAATGAGGAGCTATAAGCAATATGTGTGTGTATGTGTGTAGAGCAGAATACTGGAATGGTTAGGACTGTGGACTCTGTGGCTTAGGTTACATTGGTTCAACTCCTGGGTCTGTCACTTACTAGATCTGTTACTTTGAGCAAGTTACCTAACTTTCTGTCTTTCAATATCTTCATCTAAAGAGTGGAGATAATAACATATACTATACAGTTGGCATGGGGATAAGGGTCATTTAATACATATGAAGCACTTAGAACTATGCCTGGCACGTAGTAAGAGCTCATCAACTCTTGTTTCATGTATTACAATGCATGTAACAAAAATTATATTTAGGCATTAGAAAGATATTTCTGGTTACTGAATGGAAGATAGACTGGGGGTAAAGGATAGGTAAAACTAAAGGCTGGGAGATCAGTTGGAAAGCTGTTGTTGATCTTGAACAAGATGATAATAACTTGGATTAAGGACATGGTGGTGGAAATAGACAGATTCAAAATATAGTAAGGAGGTAGAATTGGCAGGATGTGGTGATAGAGGGTGAGTGAGTGGAGTAATACAAAGTTTGAGGGTAGAAGAGAAACTTCTCATTCAGACAAACTGGTGATGGTACTGTCATTAACTGAGAGGGGGAACACTAAAGATGGAACATGTTTATAGAGATGCATGCATTTTCAGACCCGTTGGATTAGATTTGTCTGTGGAACATCTACATGAAGAGACCCTGATTGATGTACTGATGTTAAACAGCAGGTGTCAGCAATTTTTTTCTGAAAAGGGCCAGATAATAAATATTTTAGGCTTTTGGAACCATACTGTCACTGTTGCAACTACTGAACTCAGCCATTTCAGTGCAAAGTTAGACAAAGACAATACATACATGAATGAGCATGGCTGTTTGCCAATAAAGCTTTACATACATAAACTGGCAGCAAATTCTAATTTGCCAGTCCCTGTATTATAGTATTTCTCCCTGCTGTTGCCAAAACTAAACAAATATATTTTTTTTTTGGAGAGTTTTTTTTTTTTGCTATAGGGCGTGTGCGCTCGCCAGACAGACAGAGAGAGACAGAGAGACAGAAAGTGAGAAATCACCCGCCAGGGGGGATGGCCACACCGCAATCCCCTCTCCTCCATTCTCCTCTCAGGATCTTGGGCA